TAGGTCACCTGAGGGTTAGACGAATTAAATCCGTAGCCAGGCGTTATACATACTGGACCGTACTGGATCAACATATCACTGTGTTAGTTGGAAAGTGCATACGGTGTTAGCAGGCGGCAAAAGTGAATGCCTATGTCCCGCAAGTTTCATGGCCACAAGCTGTTCATCCTTGATTCAGCATACACGTTGGCTTCGCGAGCCCAATTATTTGAACTATGTATTCAGTTGTGGTCGTTTTCTTTTAAAAATGGTCAGTATTCAGTCTTGCAATGCCGTCCACGACAACTAAAACAACATAGCTCCTCACTTACATTTTCTCCCGATGTGAGGGTGTTTAAAGAGGGGTTGCAATCTACCTCTGGCTTATTCCAAGCCTTCTGTCTTTGCTAGCCATCAAACACTTACGCTCGTCGCTATACCACCAGCAGTCGAATGGACATTATTTAGTCAGTAGTGGAGGGGACACCAGCCGACGAGTTACGTAATTGCTTGTTGGTTTATCGAACAACACCAAATGAGACAGTATCGGAGCAAAAGTCCCCAAAAGAAATTTTGACGGGAAGACTGAAAATGATTCACAGCCTGATGCCTCCGAGTAGTGCATCAACACCACTACAGAGAAAGTGGAAAGCAATCCACCAACGAAGTGAGAATAGTAGGCCGTGTCATGCACGAAGTAGAGGTAAGAGGCGATAAATAGTCAAGTGATCAGAATCAGATACTCAAACGGCTAGCTCTAGACCGCCTATCAACAGGTGTCAATCTTTCCCTTGACATCTTGCCTGATACTGTGAAGTTACCGGTAGATTCACCACAAGAAAAAGCTCAACAACAAGCTGATCTCCGTTCCAGAAAGTGGCCTTCCGACTGCGGCGAACAACAATGAAGACAAAAGTCGAACCCATGAGATTCCACTGGTAAAATTATGAGGTGTGTTGGGGATGTTAGATTCACAGAACTCACTTGAAAAATGTCCTAAACTTGTAATTTTTTTCCAAAAGTTTGAACCTTATGTTTTTGCGCCAAAAAACGTTTAAATAACCTACGGCGTGCATTTCGTACTAGAAAACCATTGACTGTCGTTGATTGACAGAATTTTGTGACACCCTCACGGGCGTTTCTATCATTGAATAAATAATCTTGAATTGTTTGCTCAGTGACACCGTTATTCTGGGTGATTATAGAATACATCCTCCATGCCTCATCAGAACTTCTTGTTCTAGTTAACAGGGTCGAGGACGACGGATAAGAATAGACTGCCGCGTCACTGCATCTTGAGCTTCGTTATGTTTAACGGGTAAGATGTACTCGTAATAGCGATGAAGCGTATCATGGGACTACATTCATTAATATGAGTATAAGGCCCATATACCTGTTCCTATGATGTACACATTATTTGATATATACAGTTGAAAGTGACATATGATAAGTATATGTTTGATTTTCTCAACATTGATCTTGCTAATTATGTTGTATATTCTGTAGTTACTGCTTGTTGTGAGATAGAAGAAATCGTTTCATAATAAGTTTAGTCTTTCATATATCAAGTTTCTTTCTGAACTCCTGAATTATCCTTATTTTCTTATTGGAATTCACATTAATTATGTAGATCAAGTATAAGAAAAGTACAGACGATGGTTGACCATACCTATCCTTTGTCATTAAGGATAATAGTAACTTATAGTACTGCATAACAGAAACAACACCTTAAGTTCGCGAATATTAACGCTGATAGATAATCCATGAAAAGCTATCCGAATGATTGTGACATGTGATAACCAACTTGTTAGTAAGTCAACATCGACATCCACCACCTTTGTAACTATCCCGTACAACAGTGCACACTATATCCTGATGCTATGATTGCGTTGATTGACATTTTATGAAGTGTTCTCTTTTCAGAATTATCTATCATGTTGTCACTCATCCTGTTTTACATAAAGGTGTTTGTTACAATGAACAAACTGAACACCAACAGTTGAGATTACAAAGAAAATACAGGTTTTACACAAAGCTCTGGAATGTCTTCCCATTTCTGGCCCAAACAAATTGCATAAGATGCAACTGTTCTACTCATTAACACTAAAGAACGTAATTGTAACATGGATACATTACATATTAATATCAAAACAACTAGGAGTAGATTTCCTCAAAGGTTTCAAACTAGAAGAGAACCGAATTCTTGCCGTGTGTAGCCTCAACCTATATAGAAGCAAAAAACACAGGTACGTCAGTGAAATCCTAATTCAGTTGAGGAAATTTCTATTAAGGAATTTTACTACAGTGAAGTGTAACCTACATTCAGACCTAAAGGGAATCGCAGAGGTACGCCAAAACATCAGTGTCTTATGGTTCACTGGCAAAGTTAACAGCAAAAATACGGTGTTTTTGCAAAATTGTGATGCCGTTGTTTTTCAAAGCAGTCTGTGACAAGTAGAGTTACTCGAGTCGATGTCTCAACTATAACCAGTCAGAACTTTTCACTGCGTACACACGTAGACGTTTTGCTACTGGCAAAAGATTGTGGGCTTCTGTTTCAGTTCCGGAATGAAAAGCTTGTTCCATAAATGCGTTTACTACACTTTGGCGTAATTCCAATATTTAACACCACTCAACAGAAGATTTCCATTTCATACAGACACTATATCCGAAATGTTAATTGTTTATTTCACTACCACAATTATTTGCCGTATATCGGATATTTAATATAGCTGATTTAATGTGTAGTTTCATGACTGTATTAAGACATGATTATTAGACTATTCGCAAACGCCAAAATTTAAGATGTGACATTTCATAGAAAAAGTTATTACATCAAATTTAAGTGCTCAGAGTGCTCAGGGACTAAAGCAGTCATTTTTTATACGTTGACATTCTGTATACACATGTAGTAGCGCAGCTTCGGAGAAAGTGTGATGTCACGAAAATCGTGCAAAACATTTGTGCATTGGTTTTGTGCTCAACATGTGGTTATTGTGGTCTCATTCATAGTTAGTATGTAATAACCGTTGGTAATCGTCGATTGACCAATTGACACAATGATACTGTATATCTTCTTTAACTACATCACAGTTCAGCGAACGTCTCGGTGATAAACTCATCGTGATTAAATGAAAATGACGTTTTAAGGCAAATGAAGTCGGACTATGTTGCTCTGTTCCTGCTTGTTTAATATTAACACCTCTTATGACTGTAAGGTTTATTTTGAAAACCATGTTTCTTATTTATAACCAGCGTTCTGAAGAGCAATTGCTCATGATTCTCGATCAAAATTTCACTGCTTTCAAACTAATTGTTCGTTTTGTCTCAGGTACCGTTCGGAAAGGCAGATGGTGTTTTTAGTTCTAAGTACTGGCATGTAGTTTTGTCCAATGGTGACATAATTTAGTCGAGTGATCATTTCATCATAGTGTTTTTGAAGTGGTTTTTTAGAGATTCGATTAATACATGGGTTTCATTCACAAATTAATAATCTCCGTTGTAATACTGTTGAAAATTAAGAATTACTTGTCATATATTTTGTCATGAAACACATGTCTCTGGTAATTCAACATCTAACTTGGAAACTCGCATTCATATAGTTAAACAAGAGTCAGGTCGCGACAAGCCTGATTTCAAGATTTGTTATCGCAATATTACTTTTCGGTAAATTAAACACAATATGAACCACTACACTTTGGTTCTATTTTAACATGATAACTATTGAACAACCTACTTCATAAGCAAAGATGGATAGTTGCTAGCAGTGGTTCGTCCTATTTGGAACTTGTTCACTAGGCGCAACGGCATCTCAGAGTTGTTGATACTCACGGTATGTACATATGCCACAATAATGGACGGTGGCGCAATTACGTGGATTGGTTGAAGATATACATTAACGCTATTTGATATCAGCGTACAAGACTGATATGTCCTGTGTTCAGATCTTGCGAGGCGAGATCGCGGATGAGCACCTCAACCCTGTACAGTTTGCTTCATATGCCATCGCGTTATTCAGTAAGCTACTGATTCCTGATAGTCACCTGTTTGTACAGTGGGGTGTAGTTTAAATTCAGTTGATGTTATTTTACTTATATCTTCCTACTGATGATTGGGACTGCAAATAACCAGTCTCTTGTTCATCAGTCTGAGATTTATATTTTCTAAAAATGGCGTAACAATTCAGTTAACTTTGAATGACCGTGTATATGAAAATTTAATTGCTAAAATTATGACAATGTCTATAGAACTCCATTCTCATAACAATAATCATACGCTCACTAACGATTAAACTGTAATTTGAAATTGTTATATCTAGAACCTCAGTCAGTTAGTCGGTCAGCCAGTTAGCTAAAATGTAGGATCAAGTACACATATGCATCGGTTCAAGTTTCCACATCTGATTAGCACAACAAGATGAACACGAAATTCACAGAAGTATTTACTTCAGTGGCGGTAATATGAGAAAGAAAGATTGCATATAAGAATATAATACAAGATGAAAGAATTAGTTCGTAGAAAAAAAAGTATAAATGAATTTCAATCTCACAGTTTGAGGGAAGAAAAAGAGTGTGTACACCTACGCTATGCGATCTGTTCTGAGTCATACACTACACAGAGTCTCCAACCATTGGTTACGATAGTTACGCGCAACCAAAACGATTAGCTGTATTAACCAACATGGCTCGAATTAGACGTTGGTGACTTTAAGGTCTAATGACACGTTTTTGTTTCACGTTCGCTAAAATTCTTTCAAATATCTCTAAGCACTTCCTAAAAGTTTCATTATTATTATTACATCTAAAAACATTTGTTGGTTGACATAAACACTCAGATTTTTCAAACATAACCATTGTAACAAACGAAATTATCCCATGACTTATCTCACATATCCAACCATTTTCTTTATTATAGAGAATTCTAACAGAAATAGTCGGTTTTTCCTTGCACTATTCTATAAAAATGGATAATTTAATAAATGGACTGATCAATATGCTGAAATACGATCATCTACTGACTGTATCAACATATACAAGAACAGTATATAATATATTCTTATTTATAAAGGGTTTATAATACAGGTATTGATACTTGTTACTGTACTAATAGGAGTTACGTTACTTCTCATATTCATATCATACAAATTGTAAGCTACTCGACGATAAATAAGATTGATCTTTCAGGTTGCCATTAATAGATTTTGGTACATACTACTCCATTGTTTCCTGTATATTACTGTATGTTGAATAGCATTTCTTTCATATTACTTATAATACTTTCATAACTTAAATCAAATACAAATGCAATATAAGTAAACAGTTAAAGATGGTGGAGAATATATGTAGATCAGGTGGATGATTTTGATAATTTTGCTCTCTGAACAGGATGAATTGGTCGTAAAGCTTTGATTAATTCTCAACAACTCACAACTCATGATCTCAAGTATTAAAATCACCATAATGTTCACATAATCATTTCTTATATGAATCAACATATGCTCACTAATGACTCTTTTTAAGCGGTATTTCCTGGATTTCTAGTAAAAAACAATGACTGATGGAGTTGAACCGGGTCTGTTGTGAAATTGAAAATCACTGAACGCAATGATGGACGGTGGCACATCTTCATCAATTCGCTGAAGTTAGACACCAACACCGTTGAATGACGGCCATGTCAGTGGTCCAGTGGTTGGGCGCTCGCGCATGAGACCAATAGTTTTGGGTTCAAACCTCTCGGGGCGGGATCGTGAATTCGTACTGCTGCGAAGTCCCACGCTGAGACTAAAGACCGTCCAGTACTTCCAAGTTTTTATGGTACTCTAGTTTTAATTGACTCATGATCTCAAGAATTGAAATTACTAAAGTATCCGCAAAAGCCGTTGTGATTTTGTTTATTCTTGATGTGTTTTGTAGAGTCATTGCTTCAGTAATGGCATTATTGATTGCTTTTGCCAAGAAGATAAATGAGAAGTATCCATTGAATGTCAGTCTTGCAATAATTTATGTAAGAAATGTTTTACCTAGACGATAATTGTCTTTTATTAAATTTTGATTAATAAAATGGATTTATATGTCAGTATAGGATTGTGGAGATTTAGGTGTTTAGATTTACAACATGAACCGACCAATATTTGATCATCACTAGAAAATTGGAAGCATTGGACAGCCATGTCGTTCCAGTATAAGACTTCTCAGCGTTGCGCATCTACTATCCAAAAGGTGTGAATCGAGCACATAACCTTCGTTCTCGTGCGCAGACGCCTAACCTCCTGACCGCTGAGCCGGGAAATTCGTGGGCTGATTGTTTGATAAAGAGAGTATTCTGTTGTTCATCGGTCACTTTACAAACGAAGAATAAACGAATCATCACATTAATTTGGATACATTGAAAGATGTTTAAAACGGAACTATTTGAATGAAGTCTCAAAATTTATCAGTTAGTCACTCAATAACAATGTAGAAATTCGAACGTACATATATCAGTTTCAGTTGCCATAACATATTAGCGCAAAGATTCAAATAGACCCTATTGTAAATGGAGTGTTGTATAGAAGACACTTTTGATAGATACGTCAACTATAGTCATGAACTCTTATGTAATTGTATTGGAGAACTTAATAAACGTTTACCAACTTCTTGGTAGTATACAATAGTATAAATAAGAACATTCGTCTAAATTTGAATGAACAATTTCATAGTATTTGGGTACTAAATCGGTGTGAAACATTAAGGAAACAGAATGAATTTGAAGTAAATTGAGCATTCCGTTTAGCAATCTGTAGTGAGACGTTTGAGAGTCTTTAAAGTAACCTTGCGGTGTCTACCTGATAACTAGGATCAAATGAGGGTTTTGTACCAGTTTGCGGAATAAGAATTATGATTTACAGTTGATGATTAGGGTTAGAAATAAGATTTAGAGTTTTCATCACGAACTGATACCATCTGTAATGCCAGGACTCTATTAAGCTAAACTAATGGGTGATGTTCGAGACAAAATTCAAGACCTGTAATCTTATATCTGATCGGTTCGTCCATAAGTTATAGTCTCACCCAATCTTTTCCAAGCTTTTTCTAGGAAACATAATTCAACGTCAAAATTACCAATTGTTAACAAATACATAGATCTTATTCAGTTAACTGTACACTGAAAGGATCATCCAATCACATGAACAACGAAGCGTGAATGCTTGGAATATATAACATTCAGCTAGAATCCAACGGTGTTAATTTCTAACTTTAATCGATTACTGAATTTATTCAAGCGCTTATCCATTGTCTTCGATGGGTAACTGCCTCACACCCAACACGATTGGACTCCACCATTTAAATTCAATACATTTAATTATATTTCCTTGAATAATATTCAATCAGATTGCTAAGCACATGTTCGGTTTTACTTCATATTCATCCAATGAAATGCTACAAATACATTCTACCTCCTTAATGACCTACATAAATTTATTTTGTTTTCACTTAGTCAATATGCGTTGCTACGGCGATTGGATTTTGGAATTTAGACGTGCCTATTACTATTCATTTTGGCGCTTTCGCAATCGATTTGGCCATTTTTACATTTGCTTTATTAATTGGTGCATCAATTGAAACAAATTTAATGGATTCCTTCAAAGTTCTATTATTTATCCTTTTAGTTATATCAGCTATAATTATTACAGTTATGGTTGTCATCTATTATCTTCATTCAGATGTATGTTAATCAATTTCTTTTTTTTATCTAGATTTGCTTCATAATTCTTGAATAAAGTTTTATATCAAGAAAACCTAAAGACGACAACATTAGCAATTGATTGATTACTGCATGGTGATCAATGGCATGTATATTAAACGCTTCTTAGTGTAGATCTAATCCTATCGATAAAGTAGCAATATGACCACTAGCCTAGGTGACTCGAAGTTGTGGGCACTATACTGAGTTAAGATGGTGGTTGGAGATAGTCACAAGAATACCCTGAACTTGGATTTCATCCTATTTGCCACTCGTCAACACGTTATACCTATAAATTTGCGGGACTTGGTGCTCCCTGACGTGTTTGATAATATGTCGCCCAGCTTCATAGTTACATACATTGTCAGCAGGCTATCCGGGCCGCGACTGAACTCCTGTGAGAGTGATATTTATTCACAATTGATTGATCAGTGGATGGTGATCAATGTCCAGAGTCCAAGATTTCCTATTGACTACCTACAACCACCATATTAAGGTCAACATTATTTGATTGATACTATGCAGTTTATGAACGCAATAGATGTTGTATATTATCACAGTTGAATTCATGATTCATTTTGAGCTAGTTTATCATTGAAAACCCTGAAATTATTGGAAGGTCGTATCTTTGTAGTATAAGACTCCTCAACAGTGTGCATCTATGAATTTGTAAGCAACACATTAAACTCTTGCTTGATGTCTACACATACTCAATCTTTGACACTCACGTTCTAAAAGCAATTGAAAACTGTAATTGAATAATTAGATTTACTTCAACTATTAAATTAATCGTGGATATTAAGAGAATTACATGTTGATATAACTAACAGCTTGTGGTGTGTTGTATGCTATTTACATCTGTCGACATATGAAGTATATAACACCAGTCGGAAGTAGAATTCCTGGTAATACAATGTTGAGAAGACCTAACTGAAGAGAACAGAAATGTAAACAGAGAGCAGTTATAATAACAACAGGAATGAAGACACAATGAACTTTATAAAAGACATTTGATGGAAGATGTGCAAATTAACCATTTAGTGTCTAGTTTATATATATCATGAAGACCATATGTGGCTTGCATTGAATAAAGAACTGCCTATATCCACAAAGACTTTGTTCACTTCAATAGTACTGAGGGTTTTATATGGCATTCTTATGCACATCATCACTTGGAAAATGCTTTTTGATCTCTCAAAACAGCTGACTAATGAAAAGTAGTTTCAACGCATCAATAAATTCAACAGATTTTTGGAACTCGTAAATCCTAAGCTGTCGTGGTGAAGGTTCTGTTCAGGAAATGAGAAGATGAGGAGCGAACGTTCAGTGCTTTAACCAGGATGCAAGATATGCAAGATAGACCTAGGGGATTTGGAAAGTCTTCATTTCAAACAAATTGCGCACATGGAACCAGGAACCTGAACAAAAAAATAGCGTATGAACCCATTGTTCGTCACCGACTACCATGTAACTGCACCTCATGACGTCTTTCCTATGCTCTGAGGATTAAATCTTTAGGTTGAAGGCTCTGGGTAAGGCCTCCTGAAAAAACCACCTGCTTCAGTTTTGCACATGCGTAGTATCACAAACAACACACAAAGCAAGTACATGTGTAGCGTATATCTATTCCGTGCTCCTTGTAACAATATTTATGTGTTCAAATAATTAATAAATAAATAAGCTTTTCAACTAAATCTAAGGCTAAAGCTACATTACAAAACTTGAACACGAGAAATATGACGCGATATATGGAAAGTATCCTTTACTCTAAGGTTAGTTTAGGTACAGAAAACCTAGAAGATTATTAGTTCAGATGACCTTGAACTTTTGGAATGTTTTGCAGCTCTACTAAACGTAGTATGAGGATAGGTACTTCTACAATCAGAAATGTAACACGTGACTCGTGAAGTTGTAGACGTTTCTGAAAAATTTCTATTGAATGTTGGCTGGACAAAATGTTTTCTAGAGTTTACAAAGATCCTCAGAAATTTTTGCAGGTAACATTCTAGATCTCCGCAACAAATACACTAATAAATCGCAATGCATTATGCTGAACACTCATGTTTACCGATTGTTCAACTATGAATTTCTTCACACTTTTAATTTTTTACAGGATGCAGTAGTATTAGGCCTGTTCATATGTGCAGAAATATTACTATTTATTGTAAGTTGATAACATTTAGACTTCATTTATTTGAAATTTAATTACTTACTAGTAAATGTGAACTACTTTATCATTCAGAATTCAAAAATCCGCATTTTCTTATCGTTGATTAAATTAAACCAATTAAGATGTATATCATTACACAGATCGAGATAATTAGTTACTGTATTGTTTTTGTAAACTATTTGCCTTCGTTTTTATTTTCGTTATTTGAATCTTTTAATTGATGTCCAGGATATCAATTGATTAGTCTCTTATAGGCATGCGTGTATATCAGGATTGATGTTCACTCCGTGACTCAAACGTAGTACTGTTCCCTTTAAGCTACATTGGGTTATCCGCTTAGCTACTGGACCCCGATTGCCAGCTGTATGTGTAAAAGGGTCATACATCGGACGGAACGCAGGTCCTGGATTTCACAGCTATCGACCGTTCATCCTTCTTCATTATATCGCTAGGGAATTAAAACAATATCAAGGCAGTCTGCCCAGGATGCACATATATTTATAAGAGACTAATCAATCTCACACCTAAACAACGATCTGAAGATACAAGTAAGCAATAACAAGTGAGTTCAAACTTTACTCTATTACTCAAGAAAGTTGCTATCAGGACACAGCTCGTAAGTAGGCAACGCGATGGCGTTTAATGCAGACGATACTGAGTTCAAGTTTCTTTGTGAATATCAACTGTGAGACGCACATACATACGTTTGACGAGTTTCAAATCGGACGAAACGCTCGTCTTTGAATAAACACCGTCTAACATCGTTTATAAGGCTTCTAAATCAATCACTTAATACTTATGTATGAAACTCTGCTCAATAGTATCATCCGTCATTTTACTTCATTCATTTAACTGAGAACACTATAGAACATTTCTTATGTACACATTCATTCATGTAATTATTATAATCATATGGCACTGATTCTCTTTATCTTATAGATGACAATATTTTTCAGTCATTTCACAGTTGGAAAATCACGGTATCGATTATTTTACCCAAATTATACACTAGCAGCATTATTATTGTACATTATGTTTTCAACTGCCTTGCCAATCACTGATGATCTGTTTCGTATCATAATGAATAATTGGAATGTAACCAAGTAAACTGGAATTTCATTTCATAAGGACAAAATATTACTGCATTATAGACTGTTAAACATTTTTTCATGTTAACTATCTTGAATACACGATAACACATATATTGAATGAGATGAAAGTTTTTCAGAATATACTTCAATAGTTTAATAAGACGAAGATTTTCAGAACAATGTGATCACTGAAAACCCGGAAGCACTAGACTGCCGTCCTGTTCTATTGTGCACTCAGCAGTGCACATCCACGAACCCGCTTGCAGGCTTCCGACTCATGGCCCTTAGTTTTGCGCGGGAACGCTGTGTTTGAATCTCACTTGCGGGATCCTGGATGCACCATTCTGGGAAGTCCCACAATCGGACAAAACGGCCGTCCACCGCATCCAGATTTTCTGTGGTGATCTAACTGCATTCGTTCAACGATCTCCAAACTCCATATCGATAATACTTTTCAAACAGTCTGATAATAATGCTTGTTGAGAACATTTATATATGAACACTAAAAGGTCAACCAGACAAGGAATGGAAATTAAGAAAAGACAAGGATAACAAAGAAATTAATATAAAAACAATTTGAAGTCTCATCGCTCTAGATAATTAGTTAACATTACCAGAGTACGTTTATGATGATAAAAAACGTTTTGAACGCACACAAAGGAGGTTTGAATTTTTCTACACACGGGCCAGTACTTTAGTTGTTACAGTTATTACCCTGTACAATACAAACGAAGTATAATAAGGTGTCTATTGACCAGGCTTGATAGCATTTGCATAAATAACGATGATGATACAAGGTTGTTAAACAAAACAATAATGGAAAATGGATATCTCCTTAAATTGATAAATAGGTGTCAAGTTCATAGTACGATGAGACCTACTATAATTAGTAGAAACGAAAAACTTCTCCACATCACATTACCACTTAAAGGTGATTTAAATAGGTTTTTGTTGAAACAGAGGCTCAAATCAGTTTTTAACAAGACAGATTGTGCAGTGGTGATTATCTAGGAAACAAAAAGGTTCGTGCTTCATCGAAAATTTAGAAACATGAAAACGATTTCGTCACATGCAACTCTGTTCACCAATTTAAATTTGTGTGTTTGTGATGACACATATATATGGAAGATAAATCATGTTCTCAAAACCATATATATGAACATGTACCTAATTGGTTACAGAAACGAAAAGAATCATCTATTGCCAAACAAATAATTGAAACAGGATATAAGATTGATCTTAACTTGCATAATGTGGTGTTGTACAAAAAGTTTAAAGAAGGTGTATGCTACGGTTTATTGAAGAATTAGTCATAAAAAAATTCAAACCCTTTTGTGTATTGAAAAACAGTTTGTTCTCACCTATAAATCTTCGTCTTGTTATTACACTATCAACAGGAACTAATTGCTTCAAATTTCTGAATAAAGATAAAAATGAAATTTGTTGTGTAAACATTCTGCTTAGAGTTGTTTTCTATGGAATGGGATTACAAATCTCATTCCTTACTCAACTTCTTTAACCACGTTTGAAATCGGTATTAGCTCCAAAAGAGCTACAGGTGCAGTTACTATAAAAAGAGTTAATGCTTTACCTCATAAATAACAAAATTGAACGTGTGGACGCTAATCTATTTGCAAAAACAATTAATAAATTATGTAAACTAACAGAGTGAATAAAGTGTATTAAAATTTACTCTGACGATTGTAAATCTATGTTGATTGAGTGCATGGAAACTATCAGAAATCAGCCTGCTTCTTGTTACAAAATAACTCAACGCTTCAAGGTATTTTTATGAATTAACGGTTTTGGTTTCTCGTTTATTGTTTGAGTGGCCTATGCTACTCGACGAGGGCCAACAGGCGTATGTAATTAAGAAAGTAGTTCTGTTCATAGAAAAAAATATTATTTTAATCAAAAATTTCATGAAACTGAAGAGAGAGGAATGAAATCACTGAAAATATACATAAGTGCGGGCATATAAATTCTAAGATTTATCCCTGATGATTAAAAATTATTATCACAGATATAAACGCGAATGATAAAATGATGTCTAAAATACATTCACTTGGTTAAGACAACAGACCTCAAAAATTAAACGAACAACCACATATCACACCATACTCTCAGTACCATTGGTACTTAAAATATATAAAATTTGCAATTTATATATAGCAGTGTATAGTGGAACGAGGAGTGTAGGGCCGGTAAAATGTTACTGAGCACTAACCAAATCATCGGGCCGTTGGGTTACTGAATATCAAACAGCTCGTCAATCCATTTTAAGGTCAGTGACAACCAACGCACATCAGTTACTCGTATGCCATAGACTGGTTTATGCTGTAATGGTCTCGCTATCTTCTATGCACTTACTTTTACAAATATGGTTATATAGTGACGTCTTTTGTGTTTGTGATTATTTTTAATATTTCTAAACACGAAATGTTAATATTCTACGGCTGTTAATAACTATCTTACGGCGACTTACTAAACATCCCTATACGGAGTCATTTCATTATAATTATAATCCCGCTTTGTTTAGCTCAAATAATCGCCTAAATTCTCATTTTAAGCGCGTTAAGCATTGAACCTGGCACTTTATAATTATTACGTGCCTTTCTAGACCAGATGCCGCGCCTTATTTTTGATTTGTCTTTCAGTTCATCAAAACCCGGAGGACTCTTATTATTCTTGCTAACCTCCGGAGCGCGACAATCTCACACACACGTTGATTCTGGTATGAGAGTAGTGTAGTGGCATTGGGCAGTACCACGAGGCAATATGAGAAATAGACATTAAACATTTAACGCAGAGAAATACAGAAGAATGGAGAAGGCGGGGAGAATAAATTGAATTAGTCCGAGTTCATCGGATGGCATGACTCGGCCATGCAGACGTGGTCCCTGCTTAATGTTACCTTATATCTTTTATTCATATTAAATATATTGTTCCATCTCCAGCCTAAGATTGTTCTCTATCATGTATTGGTAATCGTTACGATGCAGTGAGTTGGTGTAGATGATGATGTGACTTCCACGTAAGATCTTGTAGATTAAGTAGTTATATCATGACAAATCTACAATTTTAGAATTAGGTCTATTATGAGAGCAGTGCTAATATCATAGTAGACCATAATTCTACGCTAGTGATCAGTAGGTTAAAAACTGTAGATTATAATACTAAAGTTGAACTTCATCTATTCAATGATGCCCTTGAAATTGATAATGGATTATCTGTTTATGTACTAGCTAGTCCCTCATAACAACCAACATTCAGTTTGCTGTCACACAACAGTAACACCAATCAAACAACTTAAAACTGGCAAAGTCTTAAAAATCAGCTTCCACAATTTGTGCTATGAAGTTTTTTTTCCTTACAGACTTGATGATTGAGTGTCGATACGGTACTTTCATAGATAATCATTAATTTGCAGTGCACCACTACACGACTTTTGAGAAACCGCGATATATTAGGTCCGCACACAACCCAGAGGACCGATTCCGAGATGTATATGTAATGTTCGTCTTTTTGTAGAGTTGAACGTGTAAAAGAGACAATACACGAATCAACAACACAAATGCATTAGGTATGTTTTAAAACGCATGCTCACATGATGATAATATGAAATGAATGTGAGATGAAGTATAGAATTAAAGATAGGGGATTCTAATTGATCATTGTTGCTAAGGGAACACATATTTTATTATAATTTCATGAAAACATATGAAGTAACAAATATTGACATAAAATAAGAAATAAAATGTGATGTTATTCAACGAGTGTATGAATACCGTCATCTTCTGGATTCATATGTATATTAAAACAATCAATAGACGATTGTGTCGTACACTAATTACACTGCCTCCTTGAGTGCACATTTATGAAAGATTTTGAGCAGTTTCTATCATGTAATCTAGATAGAATACAGTTTACATTGGAATCGAGTACTTATGTTTCCCCTTTCACTTTTCTGAGACTTGAAGCAAACATCAGTACTGCGACACAAGTTCATCATGCTAATGAACTTCAAATAGGAGCTTTAATGAATTAGAAGAAAAAATTGCTTTTGAGCTACCTTCTTCCACATGAATACTACTAGATGTTTCGTTCTACACATTCGACTTGTAAATCTATAAAAAACAACCAAACAGCTCAAATGCCTGAGACAAATTTATAAGTAAGGTGATCGTTCAACAGAAGTCAAAGGAAGATGGTGCAATTGTAAATAACCCAAATCTATCTTACATATATTTGGCAAGCTAATTAAGACAATGTATATTCAGTGGAGTTCCTCAGTTTATCTAGTGACAAACTGATGAATATTTAATGGTTTAATAACATTCTTTGCAATTACTCTAACTAAAATTCAAGAGATTGTAAGTCCAAAGTTATCATGCTATGATCGAATAAGATATGTATTTTCATGCAAAGATGGATAGTGGCTAACACTGAAATCCAATTTGACACCCGCTTCGTCCTACCTGGGACTCGTCAGCTGGACGTAACTGCATCATAGCGTTGTCGTTTGCTACGGGACTTGAACACAGTAGCATCAACCACAAACGACGTCACGTTATACACTTAGCCACTGATTTCATTCAGCACATCCAGCCAATGTGTTCAGAATAGGACGATGCACGCGTCAAAATGGAATTCACTGACAGACAATATATATCTTTGCTTAAAACGCTTGTAATGTATGACTTTATCTATGCATTCCGTAAGGGATGCACATATAACAATAAGAGAATAATCAATGTCTGTCCTAAGTAAAAACGGAAAGAATATAGTGAAACAACAACAAGGGAGAAATGTATTGCTTTCTTAATCAATCTGTTGTTCATTTCAAAGGATTTGTTTGTCTTTTTAAAAGATCAAATACAATCTTCTTTGAAGTCATTCATTTCTGGCTAAACAGTAAGTTCAGAAAAAAGTCACAAGTACTAATTTTTTGAATCGCTCAAGTGTTTTAATGAAGTTAATATAAACAACATTTCGCATAAGATATATAATATCCTACATTAGAGTTTTGCTAAACACAGGTAAGTTTTTATTAAGATTATGAATTGATCAATGTCAGGCTATCGTTGAAATCCTGACAGCATTGGATGACTGCACTATTCTACTACAGGTTTATTTACGGTGCGCATCCACAACC